GTAGTAGTGGTAGTAGTAGTAGTACCAGCAGCAGCAGCAGCAGCAGCAGCAGCAGCAGCAGCAGCAGCAATAGCAGTAGTAGTACGAGTAGCCGTCGCAGCCATAGCCGTAGCAGCAGCAACAGTTGCAGTAGTAGTAGCAGTAGTCGTCGTCGTCTTCGTAGAAGTAGTATTTGTAGAGATGTTATGGCCGTTGGTGGTTTACGTTGTGCTTTCCGCACGTTAGTCACAGGAGCTTCTCAAGATGTACGGGCCGATGCCTAATGTGTGGTTCTTCCGGCACATACATCTACAGCCCATTTTTTGCTTTGCTCTTATGACTGGCGTGGTTTAGATTCATTACTGCGACTCGTTGATGGTATGGTGCGCATGCCAGCCGGAGATGACGATGCTGATGGCAATCGGAATGATAATAGTGGCAATGGTGATACTGGTCGAGACCAGGGGGCTACAACGTTTCTTGTGACGCGGAAACACTACCAAGGAGACAGTTCTCGGAAAAATCAGCCGTTTTGGCCCGCTGACACAGTCCCTTGCATACTGCAGTCTCGTGAAGATGGCCGCAAAGGAATCCCGGCGTGATCAGAGCATGAACCGGTCTAAGTTAAGGAGCCCCAGGGCAAGTTTCACAATCGAGATCCGAATAGCAGTGGCAGCAACATCATGCCGCGGCTACTAGCATTGTAAAAGCAGCCACAACCACAGCAAACAGAAATTGGAAGTTGCAACCTGCCACAGTGTAGCAGGCAAGAGCTCTTATTCCCAGCGTTCCCGCACCCCACGCTCCAAAGTCAACCCAACAACACCGGGACTTGCTTTCGCCATCCTTCAACTGCCGGCTTGGAACGCCCGAATTGCGAGAGTCCAATCGTTCTCAGGCTTGTCGTTATCAGCCCAGAAACTAAACCATCCTCAACAACTTTATACAACAACATCCCTGCGTCCCACGAGCTTCTGCACCCTAGGCTTGAAGAAACCCTAAACCCTACACCCTTTAGGCCTTGCCAGGCTTTGTCCGAGCGTGAGTGTCAAAAAATCCAGTAAAGTCAGAGAACCCGATACCCCTTAATTAAGGAATTTACCTTAAATTATAGGGGCCCTCATATTATGATTAAAGGTATATTCCTTACTTTAGGGGTATTGGGTTCTCTGGGAAGTCATGAAGCCCCAAAACCCTAAGCCCTAAACCCTAAACCCTAAACCCAACTTCGCAAAGGATCCCGAGGCTGACAGCATGCTGCTCCGCGGTACAGAGGCCGAGGCTTCAATCGTGCTTAATATAGGGTCTTTAACAATAATTACCTATACTATTTTTGGGAGTCCCTTATTATAACTAGAGTATAATATACCCCAAAACCCTATTCTGCTTATTAAGGCCCCTACATTACCCTCAACCCCGGATTCGGAACCCTCGACCCTACTTCCTAAACCCTGAATTGCAGACCCTATGCCATGCTTGTCCAGAGGTCCGACAGTGCAAACGGCACATAGGGCTTCAGGTTTTCGGCTGTCTTTTCGCGCTTTACATGTTGGAGCTTGTATGGTTGTAACCTTGAGCATAAGGAAAATCCGTAATCACCACAGAGTTGAGTGTCCTTGAGGGCCGCGCAGGTTTGCTTGCGATGCTTTGCCTCTGTGCCACGTCGTTCATCAAACTTGTGACCCTTCTGCTAGTGCTCCAATGCCAAACTTTTGAAGTTCAGGGCTTGTACTGGTTTTAGTATTTGCAGCTGTTTTGTCAGTAATAATGGTACTAAGATTCGTACTAGCGGTAGTACTTGTGCCAGTACTCAGCACTCAGTACTTGTACTAGGACTAGTATCAGTAGTAGTAGTAGTAGTAGTAGTAGTAGCAGCAGCAGCAGCAGCAGTAGCTATGGTGGTGGTAGTAGTAGGCGTCGTCGTCGTAGAAGTCGTGGTGGGGTAGTGGTAGTAGCACTCGTCGTCGTCGTTGTTGTCGTCATAGTAGTAGCAGTAGTAGTAGTAGTAGTAGGAGTAGGAGTAGGAGTAGGAGAGGAGTAGGAGTAGGAGTAGGAGTAGGAGCAGGAGTAGGAGTAGGAGTAGGAGTAGGAGTAGCAGTAGTGGTAGTAGCAGTAGCAGTAGCAGTAGTAATGGTGGTAGTAGTAGTAGTAGTAGTAATAGTCGTCGTAGTAGCAGTACTAGCAGCCGTAGCTCCTTAATGTCGCCAAATCTTTACATTATAACGTACCCTGAAAGCCCCTTTCTATTTGTAAAGTCCGCTGTGTGTAGCAGCTGCAGGATGCTTGGTCTGCGGGATTTCACGCCGAGGTCGGAGGGTTTCCGGCTTTACAGTTTCCGGCTTTGGGGTTTGGGGTTTGGGAGTTTGGAGTTTGGGGTGTAGGGTGTAGGTGTTTAATGTTGATGGGTTTCGGGTTGAGGAGCGTGGGGCTTTTGGTTCAGCGGTTTGCGCCGGGTAGTCGGGCGAAGTGGTGCAGGGACTCAGGGTATAGTTTTTCGAGGTTGGTGGGTTCGAGATTCGAGAGCGGCGGCTTGAAAGGGTTCAGGGTTTCGGGACAAGGCTTTACATGTCATGGGGTTGAGCTTGAGGTGTAAGCGTGCGCTCTATACCTTTAGCAATCTGTTTTTTTAACCTTACAATTTCCTGAACAGTCAACTGCGGCCCAGAAGCCATAAGTCCAAGCCCAAGAACACATCTCTAAATCTGTCCTAAACCCGGCAGCCTACATCCTAGCAGGTTGTCCGCTTGACCAAAGCCTGTTTCTCCTGGGACGGCACCTGCCGGCCCTCTGCGGCAGATATTCTGGAGGCCGGTCGGTTCGGGGTTTAGGGTTTAGGGTTTAGGGTTTGGGGGTTTTAGGGTTTAGGTTTAGGGGTTTTGGGTTTTGGGCTTGTGAAACGGAAGGGACATTGTCAAATCCAAGCGGCGTAACTGGGAACGGAAAGGCCAGTACAGGTGAGAATCACGTGGGTGAACCAGGATCAACGATTTTGCCGATGTAAAATGTAGGGGCCTAAATATTTACCCATACTGTAATTATAGTATAGTGGGCCCAAAAACCCCTTTCCAATTCTTAAGGCCCCATATTAGGCAGGTTTAAGATTCAGGGTCTTTCAGTTTCAGAGCCGCAGGGCTTTATCCAGTGGGGGTGGGGTTCAGGGCTAGGGTCTTGCTTGGGGCCCTGTTCTTGAGCAAGACTAGCAATGGCTAGAGCGGCTAGAGTTGACAGCGTGAGGTCTATTACAGGACCAGGTTCTGTGGACTTCATGGATGTGCTTCATACTCGACGTTGCAGGTAGTACAGGGTATAAGAGGCATGCAGAGCATGCCTGGCTAAGCTCCTCCATCATTCTGAAGTCGTCCTGTCCTGCTGCAGGGCTTCTGGTCAAAGAGTCTAGGGTTTAGTTTGGGGTTTAGGGTTGCGACGAAGACTCTTCCATAGCTTCCGTCAATCAAATTCCTGATTTGTTCTCAAGTCTGCCTCGGAGTGTTTGCCTTGAAAAGCCAAGGTCTATTGCGGATATTGAGCCATTATCGCAAACCCTGTCGTAACTCTAAAGTAACCCTTATCATACCTCCCAACCCTTATAGTAACCTATAGGAACCTTCATAGCAACACTTACAGTCCGATCTAGGTGTCAGGGGAGGCCTTCATCACCCACAGTAAGACTGCCATCATGGTCATCTGCATTGCATCTACCACCTTCATCCTCACAAAATTCTGTTTCATCTTCATCATCCTGATGGAGAGTACGGCTATTAGCTCAGATGGCGTGGGTGAAATGCACGGATATGGTTCTTGTCAAGGCCGGTATACATCATCTGCAGAGGTTTCGGAGCAGCACGAGTGCTGGGGTTTTGAAAGGCGTGCTCTATTGTATATTGTACCTGATCGCCACTTCTGGCGCAAACACGACGCTTTCGCCAAAGATGAAACTACGTCTGCAACCCCAGGCTTAGACTTCAACACGTTAAGCTTCTCAAGCACAAAGCCCCTGAACCCCAAACTTTCGAAAGAATCCTGGCTCAGCGTTCTGTCTAGTGCGGGCTGCGGAACGCCATGCGAAGCGCCTCGCGGACGCCTCGCCATTAGCCCGAAGATTTAGGGTTCAATATCTGGCCTTTGTAACTAAGCCGTCTAGTTCACTACTATGTCCCAACGATGTGTCCCATCGCAGTCGTAGTGGCAGCAGCAGTGATGGTCGTACTGGCATTGGTGGTGCTGGTGGGGGTTGTGGTAGTAATTCGTGTTGGCGATGGTGGTTGTGGCGGTGGTGGTGGTGGTGATAGTAGCACTGGTACTAGTATGGCACACTAGTAGGACTAGTAAAGTATTGTCAGTGGTCAGACTAGCTGCCGGATTTGTCGGCTGACTTGTAGGTGGACTTGTCGGCGGACTAGTAGGAGGACCAGTAGTGCAGATCGCATCACGTAGTACTAGTTGCACTAACGTTTAACGTCGTAGTCGTGGGCGCAGTCGCAGTCCCAGCGTTATACTGGTAGTGACAAGTAAAAAAAAGTATGAAATTGGTAACTGTGTAGCGGTATTACGGCAGCGACAGTAGTAGCTGTGATAACAAGTAGTAGTAGTAGTAGTAG